AGTGGTTGGTTCTAGTCTAATCTGGAGTGATGAACCACTTGGGGGGAAAGTGTTTCAGTGTCTTTTTCACATATTGTATTACTTTTCTGTGGCAGCGCACTATCTTGTGAGTTGATGAATGGATTTTGGTATCACAGAAATACAGGGATTCTTTCCTTATTTGTTTATTTCTACGGTAAGGCTATAATTTCCAGCTACTCCCCATACTTTACATAAAGCTCAGTCATTGAAACTTGTTGAGAATGGAGCTCCTCCTCACTTTTGTCAAGCATTGATTCAGCAATAATGCAGTTCAGTTAATATGAAACATTCACGTGTTTGGTTTCAATTCCAGGAATGGTCTCTCCAAGACAAGTTCCTGTTTCTAGTTTTCCCCTGTAGACCAGAAAATTATTTGGAATTTTTTGTGGCTCAAATCCCATGCCTGACTGATTCAGGAGAGGTCAGATCTCACCTTCAGAAGTATGCCTTACTGTGAGGCAAAAGTGTACTCTGTTTTGGCATCTCCTGTTCTCCCCTCTTTTGATGGGCCTCTTGATGTGTCTGAAATCCTGAACTCTAGCAGAGATGAGAACATGAGGCATCTGCTAGGATGTATGAAGCACCAGGATTACATTCAATCTGCCTCAAACCCACTCTTTGATATCTTAGCTGTCCACACATAGCTTGTAAGGATCATACCTTGAATAAGCAAAAGCCTTTTGGCTTCCTGACAGGATTTCTCCACTGGATGCAGTGCAGAAAGACTTCTTTTGGGAAAGCCGCAGTAGCTAAAGAACAGGGGGGAGTATCTAAAAATGGGAAAAACTGTAGTGTCTCTAAATATATAACCTAGGGTAGGGCTTCCCAGCTGTAGCATGCATCCTGCCAGTGGTATGCAGAAGACTTCAGCATGGTATGAAGGTATTTAACAAATACCAGAATGCCTCCTTATCCTCAGGAACGTGGCCCAAGATGAAAACAGGAACTGCTGAACAGCTGCTGCTGCTGCTGTCTCTGCCCTGAGATGAGACTCGAATGCTGTGAAGGGCAGCATAGCTCCCTGTCTTCTGCCTTCCACCAAGGAATACATACATTTGGTCCAGAAGTTCATGATTTTCCTTGAAGGCTAGCTCCCTGCATTTGTGCCCTGGCTGTGAATGTCAGGGGGCAAGCAGAGCTGCCAGGATGTGAAATCCTGATTAAGAAAAGAGGCTTTTCAAATCTTCTAACTGCATTATCTTATATTTTAAATAAGCATATGTTAGCCAGGAGACTTCTGTCTTCTGTGGAAAGCTGTTAGCAACACTGTGTATCTCACTTGTTCCAGCACATTCACTTCTCGCAAATGTTGACAACCATGTGCGAAGTGACAAGGATCCGTATTTGTGACCATCACCCACCAAGGAGGAATTCAGTGAGGAAAGCCACAAAATCAGGGATGAGGCATGGATGGAAGACATAATTCTGGCTCATTTGCAGTATGTGCTGAAGACAACCAGAGCTGCGGAACTGGAAGCAGACAAGAGAGATGGCTCCTATTCCTCTCCAGTCAATCCAGTGACTAATTTGTGCACATTTATTTTAATCTGTAACAGTGTAATATACTTTCCACAATCCGTGCTATTAGCTCAGCTATTGAAGTACCATCATATTAAAGATGCAAATTAAGTGAACGCTAGAAACCCCAGAACATGGTTAAAAATTCATGGCTGGTTTCAGAGCAGGGGTGGCTGCGTACGGAGCTGCCGTTGGGAAAGCGGCTCTGAGGCTCTCCTTCCCGCTCGTTTAAAGAACATTCATCAGAGAGAAGTGGCATCGGCCTATTTCAGAAAAGTAAATCAGCGGAGAACAAAGCAGCAGGGAGCCGAGAAAGGCATTGCTGTGATATAGCAATATATATATGGCATGATTCACTACTCCAGCTAAATAACTGGGAGTTAGTACCACCACCACTATCAGTTATAGCCCATACTGAATATATCGGCAGCTCCCCTCAGCACCAGGGCACTGCCCGCTCGCTGCCGGCTGGAAGAGCAACGGAGTGAATCGCTCCCCCCGCCCCGCGCCCCTTCCCGCGGGCGGCTCTATCGCGCGTGGGCTGCCGAGGCCCGGGGGCGCCGCAAAACACGGCTCTCCCCGAGCTGCCCGAGGGAAGTGGGCGGGCGGTGGGCGGGACCGCGGCGGCCGTTGCGGGGGGCGGGAGTTTTGAACGGCGGCAGCGCCAGGGAGCAGGATGCGGCGGCGTGTGTTGGGCGCCGGTGGCGAGGAGCCGGTGAGCGCGGGCGTTCCGCAGCCCGTGGGCGGGCGGCGGCAGGAGAGTGGGACGGGAGTGGCGGCGTTGGGGGACAGGGCGGTCGCCCGCGGCCTCTCGCTGCTCTGCCGCGGGGCCCGGCGCAGGTGCCGTCCGTTAACTGCTCGGGCCGACGAGCGCCTCCTGCTGCAAGCGGACTGCGGCCTGCAGCAGCTCCGGGGGTGGCTCTCGGTGGGCAGGAGCCGGTGATGCTCCCGAGCTCGGCGTGTCCCTTCCGGCAGCGATCTGCACGTGGGACTGGACCATGGCCCCTGCGGTAGCCGGCGCCTGCGGGACATCAGTCCTTCAGTGGAGGTGTGCATGTCGGTGAGGGCACGGCCTATGCTGGGGAAGCTGCCGGATGGCTGTCCGGACAGAAGTGATGCTGCCTTGGAGGTCAGCTCCCTGAGCACCCTGCTAAGGGGCTGAGTGCAAAACTGAACCCTTCTAACTCCTCAGTCTTTTAGCCATTGACTTTCCTATTCACAAGGGTTTTCTTAAACGTCGAATCACTTAAAAACCTGAATTAGTGGCACTCAACCGCATCTGTAAGGCTGTTGCTACCAATTATGATGCATATTCGTTCCTGAGTCTAGCTAGAAAAGTCCCCGAGCTAGCAGCTTGTCTTCGTGCTCTGTTTTAGAAAAATACTTGCTGCCTGACCACTTGGTTACCATTTTAAATAAATATATTAGACCTGTAAGGTTTAGATGTGACAGTGTTAATAAATCAGAAGTGTACTTTGGAATAAGATTCTGAAAGCTTGTTTTTAAGATATCAATTAAATAAAGTAAGATTTCAGTCTTTCCTGCCATTGGTAGTATCCGTAGTTTTCTTAGTTGTTGGATTTTTTTGTTGTTGTTGATTTGTGACTCCACCACTATGTAAAACTGACAATCCCTGAAATTTTCTTATATCCTAGGTACACTTAGGTGGAGAATACCTAGACTCTTCCTGAAAGTACTGCTTAGGCAGCTCCTGAGTGTGGGGCTGCAAATCTCAACAGCTGTTAGTAATCTTGTCTGGGTTATGCTGCCACTGGTAGGGAAACGATGGAGACCACAAGGGAAATGGTGCCTTACTAGACAGCATATGGCAAAACAGTGATGCATCATTCCCTCAGTCCAGATGGTGTGCTTGTATTTTTAGAAAGAACTGAAAACAAAACAAAAAAAAAAGCTGACCAATTTATTCCTTTTTTTTTTTTTTTTTTGGTAGACATGAAGAAATTCATACACTCCAAATCAGGCTGCTAAGTCATTCCATGAGATTCATGCAATTACTTCAGCTATGGTCCAACAACCATTTAATGCTAGTCCAGATAGGCGGAGATGCCCTGATGTATGAGAGTTTATCTCCTCACCATAGTTACGTACCAGGTGATAAACCTGGAGAGGAGCCACAGCCTGTACTGGGTCAGTTCAGAGGCCTATTGCCCTGGGAAATCTTAGGGGGAAGTACTTTTTTACTCTTCTGAAATGAAATTCAGGTTTGTAACAGCTGATGTATTAGTAGCTTAGGCTTAAAGAATGGGTAATTATTTCTTAGGGACAGGTGTGAGCCTTGCTTAGCTTTCCATAGCTGTGTAAGATTTGACTTGGAACAAAAGAAGATTGATGAAAGTTATTTGCTTCCCTTCAGGGACAAGTGCTGAGAAAAACTATAGATAGAGAAGCAGATGCTGGGGATGTGGAGATGTTGGCGCATTGTTTTATCCTGCACTGCTTTGAACATGGAAAAAGCACTTTATCCTGCACAAAGATGCGGGGGAGGGACTCTTCACTAGGGACTGTAGTGATAGGACAAGCTGTAACGGGTTAAAACAGGGGAAGTTTAGATTGGATATAAGGAAGAAGTTCTTTACTGTGAGAGTGGTGAGGCACTAGAACAGATTGCCCAATAAAGTGCTAAATGCTCCATCCCTGGCAGTGTTCAAGGTCAGGTTGAACAGTGCCTTGGGTGACACCGTTTAATTGGGAGGTGTCCCTGCCCATGGCAAGGGCTTGGAACTAGATGATCTTAAGGTCCTTTCCAACCCAAACCTTTCAATGATTCTATGACTGTGTCGTGAAGTAGGGTGAGATGCTTGTGTGGTGTTGAAGCTACCACAGCTGCCTGACTTTCAGTTCACAGCCTGAAACAGTCAAGTATTATGATATTATTATTTTTTTTTCTTTTACTTGCTGTGTTACCATAACTTTGTATCAACCAGAAGTGAAAAAAAACTCACTTTTTTTTTTTTTTTAACCCTTTTTAAGATGATGGTCAGAGAAATAATGAGATTGAATTTCTGATATTTTAAATCAGAAATGTTTCTGATATTTTTCCAGAGTTTAGGGTTTATTCTAGTAGGGGTTACTATAAAAAGTGGGTTATTAAATTATAAGCTTTGCTCAGTGACTGTATGAGCCAACCATGTGTTATGATCCTATGAATGAGACCTTGAGGCATGTAAATTTTTAGGAACTTTTAGATGCTATGGTTAGCTACCATGGAATTTACATGCATAATGGATATAATCAATCTGCTACATCCTGTGTTTTACTCTTTTTTTTTTTTTTCCTGAAAAGAGAAACATCATTTTATGTTTAATAACAGTTGTAATGGCTGTCTATAATTAAAACATAGGGTTTTCTATTCCAACTGTGAAATAGGTAGAGCTTGTTTAAAAATTGAGGATGCTATTGTTGGTTTTTTTTTTTAGTCCATTGTTTTTTTGCATATATAGGAGTACGACATTCAAGAGAAGATTAACTTTGAAATCCGCATGCGAGAAGGTATCTGTAAACTACTTGCAGTGAGCACACAAAAGGACCAACTCTTGCAAGCAGTTAAAAACCTTATGGTCAGCAATGCTCGTATACTTGCATACAGGACAGAGCTACAGAACCAGCAAGAAGAGCTGATCTCATGCAGAACCAGAGAACAGTGAGTAACAGCTCAAATTCAAATGAAGCATTAGGAAGGAGGCTTTTGCTTACATGAATTCTTAGCAGCCTGTCTAGGAAAGTGGATTTAAACCCTTCTTTCTGTCTTTCCCCATACAAGCATACATTACTGTTGCCTTAAAACGTTATTTTATAAGACCATTCCAGTATCTTCTTTTTACTTTAGAAAATGAAATACAAGTCATGTTTTTCTATATAGCTTTTATTGAAATTAAACTGCAATTCAGCATCTGAATATCAGGTAACATAATAGTCAGACATAATTTGCTTGATCACCTTTAAGCTATGGAAAGGAGCCTAACTAAATCTGAAGGAACAAAACTGTCGAAGAATACACCTATGTTTCATTCTTTCTATTGTTATTCAGGTCACTTTAACGATGGAAGCATCATGGTTAATTGGTACCCTCTGCTGGTCACTTCTGTTAACTACAGCAAAGTAATGAACAAAAATCAGTTTGGTTGAAAAGATTCTTACATTATAATTCTTGAATGAAGAGTGTTTATTTGAATAGTGTCATAATTTTTGCCTAATGAAATATATTTTGGGTACAGTGTTGAGAATCATGGTGCAGAGACACTACTGCTCTTATGTTATTGCTTTAATGAAACATTACATTGCACTTTAGCATAGAAATTCCTTGAGTATGTGCTTAGCTCCAGTTAATTTTATCTATAGGAACAGTCCTGCTACTTTTGCTATTGCAAATGTGGCCTTATAGGAGATTATTGAAGGAAAGAACTGCATTTTCTGACTATATCAACCATTACCATGAAAGCTGATTCTGAAAACTAGCACTTAAAATGTGTAGTGTTCTGTAATTCTCACAACTGTATTGCTTTTTTCTACTAAAGTGAACACCTTTATAGCAATTCATTTTTAATTTATGTTTTTAATGATGGAATAGTCTCAGGTATGTACTCAATCCTCTGTCTTTGTTGTTGACCACAGAATGGTGATGGCTAGAACACATGTCTAGAACAGGGCAGAAATACTTGAAGATATATTTGAACAGCTGTATTGCTTTCTTACAGTAATATTGAGCTGTATTTTTTTGCCTGACTTGTATCTGTCATGCTTTGCTTAGAGTATGTCTTACAGGGTACTTTGAATTGTCAGTGGAGGTCATAAGAAGAGATGCATGCGATAGAGTTATTTCTCTACCATTTAGATCGTATCTTTGACAGCTGCTAATGCCTTTGCACCTCTTTAAGCATTTGCCCAAGACTGGAATTTGGTTAAAGTTTAATCCAGATAAAATTATGATGTCTTAGAGAGGAAATTCTAGGGTTTTCAAATGAATTTTGCCTGTTTCTTGTTATGTGCATCTGTAATCTGTGAGTTCAGAAGATACTAGAACTGTCTCTTGAAGTCAGGATATTGGTAGCAGCTAAAAATTTTCATTTCACCTTATTTGGTTAGGAGTTGGGAGCAGTAGCAGATATAAGGAAAGCGCTCTATTGTTACTCATTATCTATAGATTGTTTTGATTCAATTTAAGGTTAACTTTGAGATCTGCACTCTGGCTGCTTAGTAGACTGTCTGCCTCCATGTAAAATCACAATAGTAAGAATGCAACATTTTATTATTAGTCTTTTAATAGAGGAGGTAGCAATTCTCTAACCAATAATAGAACTGATAAATTAAGTTGCTTATTCATTGATGTGTACAGCAGGAGAAAAGTTGATAACATACTTAATTCTGTTGGAGCTAGAAAAGACAAGAAAGATGAATCTACTTGTCTTTAAATACCTGGGTTAAACAAGCTTTGGAGTAAAATCTTCTAGGGAATTAAGAAAATTGATGATGTACCTTCCTTCCAGATTATCCTCAAGAATCTTAATGGCTCATATATTAAACCAGAGATACCAAATTTAAAGAAAAGTATTTGAAATGAACTATAATATGAAAACCTTGACACTTTCTGATGTTTAAAGGGTTGACTTCTGGAAGTCTAAATGCACAGATCTCAAACCTCATTTTTCTTTTCTTCTTTTCATCAGGCTTTCAGAAAATGGGAAAAAAGACCGGATGGCATGCAGAGCAAAGGTTGCTATATCAGGTAAGTGGCTGGGTATTCACTTAATTATGGGAGCTGATTTGCTGGAGAGTAACTTGTAATACAATCTTGTTTGTACAGTTTGTATTTTTAAAGTGTGTGTGGGGGGGGGCATAAATCCTCTTGTGCTTCAAGGGGACTCATGCTTTTAAGTCACACACCTGCTTTTAAAGATCCTATCTAGTATTTCCATTTTATGTTCAGGGGCTTTCACAGTGGAAAATACTTTTTTTTTTCTATTTGTCATGAGATACCGAATACATTTCAAAGCTAAGGAAGTGTGAATGTGCTGATAATTTGTTTTTTTTTTTCTCCCAACAAAGACAAACTTTGAAGGGATCATACAGGGTGTGGCTAACCAGTTGAGGGCAGAATTATAACTAGTATGCAAATGTTATCTGATTACCGCAGATTACATTACTACAACAAAGGTATAGTGGTATGGCTTCCATGCAAACTAGCAAGAATATTTAGCAGTCATTTTCAGTAGGCCGGTATACTCTTTCTTAGCCAGTTCTCAGACTTCAGCACTCTGAATTTACCATTTTGTTTGCCTGTGCCAATAGTGGATGTTGCTACATTCAGCATTCCTGTAGTTGTTCATTGTGGCTGTTATGCTAGCTCTGAGAAGAGATCTGTTTGTGCTTCCCTACTTGCTTAATTAAAAATAAAAGTGTTGGAGGGCTCACTATTTAAACTGTTTTGGTTAATTCCACATATTTTGATATATCTTTAAGCAAGGTAACATCTAGTAGAAGAGTGATGAGCACTTGGTTCAATAATGTTTTCTGCCAGCACAGCTGTTTGCAGAATGCATCTGACCTTCCTCCTTATGGTAGTTGGATGAAAGCATTTGTTTGTCTGTCTGTGCTGTGGTTTCACCTTTCTTTGCATTTATAGAGTTATCTGCAGTGAGGTCTTTAGGGTCATATAATATACTTTTGTTATCTCTAGAAAATCAGACTTGTGTAAGGACTGTATTTTTCGTATGAGAAATCTGTTCAAGATGTGAAACATTTAGCTAGTTTTTTGACAGGACAAGAGAGCAGAAGGTTGAAATACACCACTTCCTATTATATGCCGTCTGGTAATGATTCTGTCCAGTTACTAACATAGTGGTTCTCAAGATGGAGATTATGATCCTCAGAAGTATGGCACAGATTGAGGTGAAGAGCGGAGAGAGACATCAAATACCTTGTGAACTCAAATCTGTGCATGCTGGGATGCTGCCATGCCTCGTCCCCTTCAGATACTTGTGCCAGGAAGCCTATCCAGCTCTGTTTTATGGCAGGAAAACCCAAATTATGTTCTTGACCTTTGCTGAGAGATTTATGCTGTCTATGGATCTGCTGTAATTAACTCATTTTCTGCGGTTTTTTGCCTAAGAAGAGAAAAACTGGGTACATGAGAAGTAATTGTGAGGACAAGCTTGTTTGTGCTTAGCAAGGGAGGAGCCTCTGGGCAAGACAGATGAATGCCTCCTTGGTTTCTCCTTTTGTTGCCCTCTGACCCGTTACCCTGTGTCAGTTTAGCATGCCAAACTAGGTCCTGTCTGCTTCCACAGCTGCAGTATGTTCACACACTGTAATGTCCCATTATTATTCTTTCCCTGTTTTTCCCAATCCTTGTGTAGCAAACCAGCATGTTACATTTCTCCTCTCTTGTATGCCAACCTTAAGTGTTTTAGAAACTGAAGTTGCCCTGCGTGTTTGGAAGGCACACGCGTGTGCATGTGCCTGCCTTGTTGAGAATGCAGTTGTGAATACAAGCGGCGTGAATCAGAAGATGTCGTGACTGAATTGTCTAGGAGAGGCTGGAAATAAAGGAGTGAGTGGTAGTCCATGTAATATGACAGGACATGTAATCTAAGAACTGAAGATACAGGGCTATTTTTTTTTAGGGGAAAGTAATCCATCTACTTATAAATATATTAGTGTATCATATGGTTAGTACATGCCAGAAGCTTAAACTATTACCAAAAAAAAGTGTGATCATGTGGCCAACACTAAAAGTTCAGGAACAGCTATGCAGGAGTACTGAGGAATGTACTCCCACAGAAAGCAACTGTATGTCAGATACTGTGTGGGGAGTGCATTCCTTAATCTGCAGATTTTCACACTTGTATTATTTTTACTTATGTATCCCCCACATGTGTGAATAAATTATATATTTATCAATTATTTTGATAATACATTATCAAAAATATGTCAGAATACATTAAATGTTGATCAAAAAGCATAATTATAATTTAAAGTAAGTTTAAAAAGAAATCATTGGCTTTAAATCTGATTAATTGTAGTGTTGGAATGTGTTCAGTTTGAATCCCCATGGATTTACAGCTAATGGTAACTGAAATTAAGGTGTGTGAAAATTGATCTTTGTTTTTGATAAATGGCAGCTCTTTCAATCCATGAATGAATTGAAAACTGATTTACAAGTTGCATGTAGGAAACTTGTTCAAGCAATTGACTATCTGTGGCCTGATGATTTTCTAAGGTACAGATTTTTCAGCTTGCATGATATTGAAAGTGGCATACAGAAGTAATCTTTAACCTAATAATTTAATTGTTAACAAGACCTATTGTGCACATTAAAATTGTCAGAGTTTGCTATGATTAAAGGTGAAAAAAAGCTTTTGTTGTAACTATTTTCACATATTTATGTAAATTTAAGACCTTTGTCTTTTCAGAAAGAAACATTCTGTGCTTTGCCTCTGACAGAGATAAATACATTTATGTTTTTAAACTTTGAGAGAAACTTCTGTAACTGTTTTAATGAACATGAAAATGTAATGTTAGGGGTTATGGGTTTAAACTTAAACAGGGGAGACTCAGGTTAAAGATGAAGTTCTTTCCTGTAAGGGTGGTGAGGCACTGGAATGGGTTGCCCAAAGAAGTGGTAAATGCTCCATCCCTGGCAGTGTTCAAGGCCAGGTTGGACAGAGCCTTGTGTGACATGGTCTAGTGTGAGGCATCCCAGCCCATAGCAGTCGGGTTGGAACTAGATGATCTTAAGGTCCTTTCCAGTCCTAATCATACTATGATTCTATGAAACTACTTCTTTCCTCATTCAAAACCACTTTTTTTAGAAATTCTTACTATGCAAATGTGTCTTTGGATAGCAGTTTCAGAACATGGTGATGTATTGATTTTTAGGAAGCTGTAGCAGTCTAAAGCTGTATACTGTTGAAAATGTTAGTTTTCATGAGCACTTAAAACTAGATTAATTTGCAAATTTCAGAATTTAAATAGTGTGTATAATAAGGTGTCCCATACTATAATCAAAATTAGCTTAGTTTTTATTTTTTTTATTTTATATAGCTTCTGAAACACTCTGACTATATGCACTTTCACTTAAATCAGCAGTAAGTTTTGTGGATAAAACCCTGTCAGAATACATAACAACAAGCCAAAATACCACTACTGTTTTGCATCTTAGCATACTGTATGTGGATTTTTCCATCAGTCTCATATGGAGATCAACACTAGAGACGGCGATGCTTCCTTATAACATCATTAAAGATTTTTACCAAAATAGTTGAGCTAGTGCTGTTCACTGCTGCCATCATGTGTCACTTAATATATTGCATATACTTTTAAACAACACTGTTGTACTTAAAAAAAGAACTTCGGATTTATAAAGGCCCCACTGCATTTGACTTTCAATAAGGGACTCATAAGAAACATTATGACTAGACCTGAGTCCTTGAAGCTGGAGGAAAATGTTGTTCTACTCCGCTGAAGTGAGTAGATAAATTGGAAAATTTGTTGAGGAAAATACTTTCCTGGTATTAAAATGGCAAGAGCATGACTTAAAATAATGGTCTGTAATTGCCTCTCTAGTATGGTTCTGAAGTGGAAGGATATTTGAATTAAAAAAAAAAAATAGAGTTATAAACTTTTTGTGTCAACTTAGACAATTCTAACTGGGAATGTGATTATAAGTGATACTTTCTCTGTGGTTAGCAAAACCAGACTTAAGTCTTTGCAGTATAAGTATCCCAGCCCTTTCATTAAACCAGGAAGTTTTTCTTCTTGCAGTTGGATGAGTGGTTTCCAGCACAAGGCAAACAGTTTCAGTTGACATCTGTGCATAATCATGGGCACAGAACTTCTGTGTTCTCTCAGAACTGTTACACAGCCACTGTGAAATGTCGTTTCAGGTACTTTCAAATGAGATTGAAAATACTGTTTATTTTAGCATTTCTAAAAGAAAATGACATTTCAAGATGAACTAACTGATGAATTTTCTTTTGAAATGGATAATAAAGTTGAAATAGTTACGCTGTTCTTTGGGTAGAAGGTCCTGTTACACCCAGAACATCGGGAAGGGAAACCAGACACTTTCTGTAATTTATTTTGGTCACAGATCTACAGTATTGGCTATAACTTAATTCCCCACCTTTTTTTTTTTCTTTAGATATTCGAATACCATTAATGTGGAAAGGCTCTGATCACTTCAGCAATAAAGAAAGTACGTAAGACGTAATAACTACTGTGATAAACAGTTGCTTATGCTTGTAAATTTAAACTGGATGGGGGAATCTATACTTGGTTATGGCAAACTGAGTTAGTTCAAAGTCCTGTAGTTTTGAATGTTTAAAGCCTGGTCTCTAAGAAGTCCTCATAAGGAGAAATTCCAGAGGAAGCAACAGGCAAGTGTTGCTATTAAATCGGTAGCTGAGAAACTTCTGATTAAACGTGTTGTTCTATGTGTTGTTTACACTTGAGAGAGTATATTGGAGCCTGTTTCCAGTGAGAAATTTAAATAAAAGTTGTCTGTTAGTGTTAGATATACTATTAGATAGTCTTGAAGTGCACGTGTTTTGCTGTGTCATGGAGATTAACCCTAAATCTGTTCCAGCTGTCGCCTGGCATTGATTTTACTTTGATTTTCAATATGGTCAGAGGGCAAAGCATGGTGAAATATTCTAATCCTATATAGTATATCCACAAAATGATATAGCCTTTGGATCAAATATTAGAGTTTTTTGCTTAATATCAGCTTTATTTAACAGAATTATATTTTTTACTAACATTTCTGAAGTTGCCACCACAAACTATAAGTGATTATCAGAAAAAGTTGAGCAAAGGTAGGAGTTTTTTTCCTCTGTGAATGTTGCTTTACCTTCACAACAGCTTTGACAGCTCAATTATCATAAAATCCAGTGATGAAAATTTATGGTGGAAAGAATTGGAGATCAGTTCCTTAGAAGTCAGAATTGCCATTTCTTCTACTTCTGTTTACTGAAAGTATTTAGTATTGCAATGTGTAATATGGCTAATAAAACGTTTGTTTGGCTTTCTCCAGAATCACAGCGCTATGCAGTTTTTTGTTTGTTCAAAATGGGAGCTGAGGTTTTTGATACAGAGGTGGCTATTGTGGATAAAGCCATAACAGATCTTTGTTTTGAAAATGTAACCATATTGTGAGTATAATTTACTTCTGTTGAATGAAGTATGAATATTGCTGTTTCTTTTGAAAGTGGGTATGACTATGAGTAAGATTGACTGAGGTCCACTAAGTTTTTCTGTGGACAAAGGAATCAGTAGAGGTCCTGTGGATGGTGGAACCCCTTCTCTGGAAGGTTGGTTTTCATGTGCATAATGATGCTAATTATGCCATTTGAACTGTACTTCTTTTCATTTTTGCTGTGCTGAAGCATTTTTCCTTATATGAAGAGATAAACAAACTTGTACCTCAGGGACAGAATTAGTTTACTACTAGAACCTGAAAGAGTTATGAAAGTATAGGCACGGATGTTGCACCCAGCATTTTAAGTATTGTTCTGTACAGAAGGCTATGATCTCTTTCCACACTTCATGTTCTGTTACACCTATATGAACATGTGCTACGGACACAGTCTGTATAGTTGAAGAATATGAAGAATACTAGACAGGAAATTATTCACTTGTCTTTAAAAGTAACCTGGAAAACAGTAGAAAGGTGTTCTCATAATTCTTTGTGCCTTAGAATTTTTAATAGAGTCCTGAGAGGTACTTAACTGCCCTTTCCCCCGCCCTTTATTTTTTATATTAGCAATTTAAATTTGGTCTCTTGAGGAAGATTGACTGGAAAGCTGAAACTACTGAAAATTTTAAATAAAGATCCTGAAAGCTGAGTGGTTGAGAGAAAGTAGATCTTTAAATCAGATTTTCTTCAAAGATATGAAACTTGACCATTAGAATTTTCTGTGAAATACTGCAACAAAAGCAGAAGAGGCAGTCTAACTTGCCTTGTATCCCCCGAGATAGACAGACCGTCTTTTATAAAAGCCTTTGGGATGATTTCATTATGGGCGTGTGTAATTAAATGATTTGTACCTGAAAGATGAGGTCAGGCTTCCAGTCTGATGACTGAGCTTGAGAACAAGATGATCAATAGAAATGAAAGGAGAAAGCAGAAGCTGCAGACAGAAGTTAAATTATGAATGACAGTTTTTGTTGGTTATAAGTGAGATAGTTTTTTTTTTTTTTCCTGTAAATGTGAAGGGAATAGGCTGCAACATATCTTTAAAACAGCTCAATCTGATTTAGGGCCATAGGCATGGATAGGTTTTCCATCGTGATTTTTGCGTAACAGTAGAGGGCAGATTTAAGTATGTTTGAATGTTTTGCTTGTGTATTTCCATAACATGGAGGTTTTTTTCAGCTTTTAGCCTAAACGTTGAATTTCCTGTTTTCATTTGTTTATGGTTTAATTATAAGCTCCATCTCATGACTTCAGTGCTGTTATTCCTGTGTACTCTAGTCTTTAATTCCATATTAATGTATGTCTTTGCCTGAATCTTATGGCATTCCTTCCCTTGATTAGAAATACATGTTATTTATTATATGAAGTAGCAGTAGTGTTCCTTGCCTACATACTCTGTTTATTAACAAATGCTCTGACATTTTCTCCTCTTCCCCTTCAGTGATGAAGCAAGACCAGATTTCCAGCTGAAGGTTGAAGTGTATAGTTGCTGTACAGAGGAGTCTTTCTGTGTAACGAATACACCTAAGAAACTAGCAAAGAAGCTTAAAACATCCCTCAGCAAAGCTACAGGGAAGAAAATCAAAGCTTCACTGGAAGAAGACAGCACTGAATCCCTTTTGCCTCCTGACCCTGTCATCCAGTAAGGCATACATATTGATATTCTGGTTTCATCGCTTTTAAAGTAGAAATAAACCAAATGTATTGTAATCTTTTGGCAAATTGCCAATGAGTTGTTTATTTCTGTACTTACCAAGTGGAAAAAAAAAATTAAATAGGAAATGAGAAAGTAGGTGTGAATTCCAGTAATGTTGCTCAGCCCTGGGTCCTGGTTCTGATCTTGAAACACAAAAGCTTTATTTTTCTGCTATACAGCTAAATAGCTGGCAAATCCACTGTTACTTGCAAATCCTATAGTATTTTTAGTTTGACCTCTGGAGGAAATCAAGCTTGTACAATCTGTTTGTCTGGGTCCATCTGCCCATCTACTTCTCCTTTTCCCTTTACCATTTACCCCCTCCCCGGTATTATTTTTGCACTCAGCCAGTTTTACTTGTACTTGACAGAGAGGTAAACATGTCTAAAATTTACAGGTTGTGTCAAATAAAGAAGTGTGGTTTGTAGGCAGGAGAACCCTTTCTTATACCCTCTCCCCTAATGAAGCTGACCAAGTTCTTTTGTTGTGCCTGGGGTATATACTGTGCACATGGGGAACATTCCACTTGCTGGCTTTTCAGTAAAACTGGTCTGTCAAAGGCACTTTACAGTTACAAGTTGCTTAACAGTTTTCTTAATTGACTTTAGCACAGAATATTTTAAAATGTCTTGCTGGTTTTCAGTGTTTGTAGAAATAAGTGTTGTTCCCAGTAATTTACCTGTTTCCTTTTAAAAACAATCTGAAGTCTTTCATTCATTTTTTTAAAGAAGCTAACTGCCCACTAGTATTTCCTAGCTACTTTAATTTCATTAAGCTTTAAGCAGGCCAAATACTTAAACTGTAAATACTAATGATATTTATTTTCTTTTTTTTTTTTTTAAAGAAAGCAATGTTTTCAAGGAATTACTTTATTTTAGGCAGCTGAACAATAAAGAATCAATACCTAATTCTAATTACTGAATGTAGTCTTAGTCTACCTTCATGTACCTATTTGCCTGGATTTTAAAAGGAAACATTCAAGCATATTCTATCTTTGTCAAACTGATATTACTGTATACTGATACTACTGTTTCAATCAAAAATACACGTCCAAGAGATCCGCTTCACAGAGCGAAGCAAATTTCATTGCTAACTTTCCAGTGTGTTCCACCTAGTAACAATGTATCTTTCAATCTACATCATGTCAGGTCACTGTGCTTTCTACAAGCTCCAGCTGGGCGATGGCACACTATCATTATAGTTTGCTTCAGATATAACCACTAGCTTATTTTCTGACCATACTTTCTAGAATATAGATTGCCTGTCTTTTAAGGAAGAAGTATCAGTAGATAATCTAAATAGTTGCCTCTTCCCTTTTGTTTAGCTTTTGGTTTCTTGATTGTGATTGCATTTTCCTTTCCTCCATCTTGAAGTTTATTTTTTCTACTGTAAATAATCATCTCACAGTGACTTACTTGTTTAACAAAGTTAAATGAACAGTGATGTGTCTAATGATGGCTTTGCTAGGTGATTAAAAAAGATTCTTGAAAAGAAGGGAGTTATTATAGGCAGAAAATAAGTTGAGATTTTTTCTTTTTTTTAATAGATTTTCCTTAAGATACATATTTGTAAGATCTTGGTATGTAGCTCTTATAGAAGGGAAGAGATTGCTAGATTACAGGAGATCTTTCAAGCATTCACAGAGCGCTTTATTAGTCCAGCAGGTGAAATTCAACTGCAACAACTTTCTGTATTATATTAACACCTTTTTATCAGTAGATTTAATTTGTACAGGCATTTTTCTTTTCAGATCACCCATGAGTAAAGTTCTCCATTTTCCAAAAACTTTGTGATCCCTCTGCATGAAACTTCTTAGCTTAGAAATCTCCCTGGTTAGTGAAGAAACTGTCAGCCTTGTAACTTCTTGTAAAAGCTTAGTGACATGGTGTTTTGAATGCTTGCTTAAGTTGGTTAGCTTTCATTATACTAACTAATATTCTCTCTACTCTTAATTATCTGTCTTTTAATTTCTCTACAGTCTGTTGCCTGTTTATTTTTTCTATTTTAGACTTATATATATATATATGTCATAGTGAAGTTATACTTTTGAATTCCAGAGTAGGTTGCTCTTTAGATAAATTATTAGAGACTTCATGAAGTGCATGTTTATTCACTTGCAGAATGGGCCTCTGCATAGAGTTGTTATTGCCTTTTATGTATTGTCCTCCAGTGGGCTGGAGGCACAGTTTTGGTGTCTGTTTGAATTGGCAAATTCATAGTGATATTTTGCTAGAAGTACATAGTCTATTGTAATGGCCTCACTTTTACAGCTGGGTTCTTTCTAGTAGCTGAAGGTTATCTTTGGTTTTGCCTTCTGTTATTTAAGGTCTGATTGAAAGGTGAGCATATTAGACTTTTTTCAGAATATATATATATTTTTAATAACTCATGAATCCTCCACTCTCTATATCTGGATGAGCAAACTAACCTTGAGATTTCTAATATTGGAGCTAATATTCTGGAATCTGAGGTGTATTAATACTCATTGATAGAAAGGGTGATATAGTTACATCTTCCCATGCCAGTGTCTGTGGGGCAACTTTGGTGCCTGTCTCTTGATCAGCAAACAGATTTATCAATGCACCTTTGCCACAGGCGTGTTGTGGAGATGAACTGGTTCTTGTTTTTGTTTTAATAAAATTATTACATGGAAGAATACTATAGATTTGCAAAGCACTGAATGAGATGCAGCAGGCAGATTGTTCTTTGTTATACAGAGATACTGACATTTAAGGCAGTTAGCTAATTCTGTGAAATGTAGGAGCAAAATGTAGTCAACAATCCTGAGTAGCCTGTTAAATCTGAAAAATGTTTGCAGATGAAACTTTTCTAAATCATTATTGCAGCTGGCTGAAAGGAGTGACTTGTATTTTAGAATGAAAATGTTAGTGTGAAGCATATTTTAAAAGTGAAGTAGCTATTTTTTTTGGCAAGGTTGTTGTGGTAATTAGTCATGGTTTAGGAAAAAAGTTAAAAATCAGCAAAGAAGTTTTTATCTGTGAAAAGAAACCAAACTTTTTGGTATATTTTAAATAGAATAGCAATCTATTGCTCAACTGCATAGCAGAACATAATCAGCGGAGAATCTTCTGTTAGTGAACAGTCTAGCAGGGAATGTATACAAATGCCGATGAGATTTCATTCATATTGCCCTCTTGTAATGTTTCACAGTACTGTTTCTTCACTTGGACTGGTATATCATATTTAATTTTCTCTTTCTTCCCTTGAGATAGATGTGTAACAGATCTGCCTGCTAACAAACTTGCTACTTGCCTTCTCCTCTTTAATTAGGGTTAGGTAGGCATCTGCCCTGTTTCTCTGAAGAGCCAAAGATTGTTAAAAACATATGTTCCCAATGTGCTATTACGAAAAATAACATTTGAAAAATATTGCGATAGAAAGCTATTATTTTAGTGATGTTAGTGCAGTGATGTCTTATCTTTTATACCACTGTCTTATGCTCTCCTGAGGAGATCTTATGCTAGATCCTGTTAGGGAGAGCAGTTAGTGACTTTGAGGGGTTTGTTTTCTTGTGAATTTTGTTTAAAAAGCCATTAGCCAGGTGGAATTCTTACTGCATCACTGAACTGTAAATCTGTTACTTGGTCTGAAGAGTATTTAGGGAAGAGGTTAAACATGTACCAAATTTATACTAGTTTATTCCAAGAATTGCATTCCACATGCACTGTGCTGAATTGTAAATGCATTTTTTTTTCCCTAGGCAAAAACCAAACCAAAGATAAAACATTCTGAAACCTGTAAGCACATGTGAAAGAGTTCTTTATGCAACAAAACTGACTGTAGCACTTCTGCAGATTTCTGTGTGCAAAGAATCAAGCTATTAGATAATATTAAAAAATACATATATAAACAACTGTTCTATAAAGTGTAGTCTACACAGGCAAAGTAGAAGAGCAGAGCATCATGGAGGAGCAGTATAAAGCCTTTTAATTTTTAACCTGTATTTTCAGATGGAGTTTACGTCATCCATTGTTCTATGAGCTATAGCAGTTTTTGAACCTGTTACCAAATCTAGTTGCTTTAGGCCTAGGAATAAAAGTGAATAAAAGCTGTAAAGCTGTTTAAAGTTACTTGGTGTCTGACTAGAGGAGAGAGATGCTCTTAGCATCCTCAGGATGCAGAGAGTTTGGATAGCACAACCTTTACAGGTCAGTTTGGCAGCCCTGGTCAGAAGTCTCCTGGCAGACAGGTCCAGGAGAAGGCTATGGAAAGAGCCACCTGATGGAGCCTTGTGGCACTGGGCTAGGACCTGTGGTGTGGGAGGGAACTAGAGGTATTCACTGAGTGGAGGCAGGAGATAAGCTTATAGGAGGCAGATGAGCAGACTGTGGGGTAGTGTCGGTTTACGAGGAAAAACCAGAGATAGGGGAGTTCTTTGGGAAGAGGTTTTGGGGAGTGGCAATCTGTGGTCACTGACAGGTGGTGCCTTGCACCTTGGCATTCCCTAGTACCCAAATGTGTTATCTCGGGCATGTCAAGACTCCCTTTAATTACTGCCTGAGCAATGTGAAGCAGAAGTGTCTTAAATGTGCCTTTTCTTTCACATTTAGTGGAGCAAAATACAGTATGCTAGCATATACCACTTTGGGGCTGGAGAGTGCTGAGGACAATTTTAGGACTCACAACCTTACTATTACAGGAAATGGTAAGTACATGTGGTACTAATTTAAGGAAATAAAAACAGTAACATTTTGCATTTCTCTGTCTTGTAAACTAGAGGCTTAAATATATTATTTTTCTTGATACTTAATATAGAACAACTTTAATAAAATATTTAACGGCTCTAAAACAGGCATTTGTACACAGCTGAGTAAACAATAAGTTGAATAAAATTTCAAGTCCAGATGAAAATTTAATTCTTTTGGGAGTTTCTTCTGTCATTTGCATCTTGGTCTTAAGTGAATTATAGCTATATACAAATTATTTCCCCTTCCTCACAACTGAGGAAGGGTATCAGAATGAAAGAAAAGTTTTTTTCCTCTGTAGTCAGGAAGAAAGTAGAAAAATAGCTTCAGTTCAGCTAGGTTGTTTCAGGCCCAAATTTAGCAGAGGACGTAAGCATGTGTGCTTACATTTTGTGTTTTTCACTGTACTTAACCTCTGGGGCAGCACAAGTTGGCAGCAGTCAAGCTAGCTGCTAACACAGGGACTATCTTTATGCTGCAACTGAAGTTAATGATTTAAGTAGCAAGAGTACCAGTTTTGATACTTTGTCCATTATTTTCTGAAAGGAGGGCCCCTCCCATAAGCCACCCTCTGTTAACTTCAGACATGGGACTTTCAGTATATTTCACTGTAGCATCTGGGAACATTATCTTTTACTTGGGTAAACTTGACCCCAAAGAGAATTTCATTCTTTACACTGCACTAATTCTGAATACGTACAGATTTGAAGATTTATGGGGCATTTGTTTCTTGAAGGGTTGGATGATTAATTCTGAGTATCTTTGTAATCTTTCCTTATTAGCACTTTATACTCCTTCAAATTCCTTTTTCTGTCATTAATTTACATAACTTACTCTGGTGAGAAATTACATACCTGGAAATTTTGATTCATTACAAGCATTTCTAAAACATGGCCAAAGACAGAGTAGTATCAATGGAACTTTGTATTACCTGCTTCTAATTACAGAAGGGAGAGCCTATTGCATAGCAGAGCTGAGTGAGGAGGGATATTGTAGTTCGTTAGAAAGTCCTTGGAATCCTATATGTTGTTCAGGTGCTGAAGACAGAAGTAGACAGAAATTCTAAGCCTTAATTAAACAATCTGCAGCAAAGTGCTCACATTTAAATGTAGCTGTGCGTTGCAATGGGATGGGCTTAGGGATCCTGCTTAGATGATCAGTGGTATTAGATGATCAGTGATCACCTGCTTAGGTGATCAGTGTATTTATCTTTCAAAATGTCTCTAGCTGTGAAAGGAGATTTAGAGCTGTAATTTATGTGAGAACAACTTGTTCTTGTAGAATATAATTTCATTTTTACTTGATTTCTTTTTAATAAAAAGAACTTTATTAGACTAAACCTGATGTTTAGTTTTGAGTTACATGATAAAAACTCTTTAAATTTTTTTTTTTGCATTCATGATCTTAATGTAAAACTGGATAGAGAAAGTCAAATTATGTACATAGGGCAAATGTTTAGAACTAAGTGTTGTCTTTCTTTTGCCTGGTCTTTTCCTCTAGAGGAATCCTCTTTTTGGCTACCCCTGTACGGAAACATGTGTTGCCGTTTAGTGGCTCAGCCTTCCTGCATGGCTAGGGATATGATGGCAGGTTTTCTTAATCAACAGGTAAGAAGACTTTGCTTGTGCTTACATCATCTTCTGTTAATAGCTGTCACTAAGAGTCAATTGTTCAAATGTTTGCTTTTAGCTGAAGTGGTTTCTTGAGAACTGTTATTTTTCATACGTTCTTTCTAGAGCAAGGGCAAAACTATCTCAAAACACTGTTCACAAACAGTATCTTCAGTGGTTAAGTGTGAGAAATAGATGTTTCCTTGGCATGCTTATCAATAAAATTATTTAGGCTGTTACCTAAAGATCAAGTGTAGTAGTTGTTTCAGAATTGGTTTAGGCTGGTACTTGATGGCAATAGTCCTAATAAACCTATGGCTCTCATCCTTGTATCTGCCTCTCATTGTGCTAGCACAAGAGTTCATATCACAGCATGGGATAATCTGACTGGTGAACCAAGCTGTATTTAAACTCATCCCTTAAAAAATGATTCATGTGAACTCAGTATACTTCTCTATTTTGGTTCATTGCACAGCTAGGCAAATGGGAAGGTGTTAGTGGAGGGCCAGAGGGGCTGGGTTATTTGTCAGGAGTGCTGAATTACAGGCTTTAAACTTGTTGTGAAACTATAATACATTTATGAAAGCTGTTCATAAAATTCATTTCAGAAAGTGGAAATGCTAGACAAATGTCTTTGACATTTGTTGAATGTACTGTGTATTTCCAAAGTGAGATACTTCTTTTATTTCTCTTACTGTGTAATTACTATAGCTAATAAAAAGTGGTTTCTTTCTTACAGTGGACACCAGTTCTAGATTTCATTCTGTGTGAACCAGCAAATTCTGTGTTGTTAGTGTAACCTGGCAATAATTCTGCAAAAACTGTAAAGCATCAAAAGACATTTAAAGCATTGCTAACATTTCAAAAGTCACTGACTCTGAAGTGTTCTGCAACAGAAAGATTTTGTTTTAGGAAAGAATTAGGTGTGGCTAAGTTTTATTCACATAGGGCTGATCTGAACCTTATAATACGCTTTTAATTTGTAATTTATGTTTGGCAATTTCTGACTATTTCTTCTTCTTAGCAAATGATAGGAAGTCTAACTAGCTGGAGGAGGCTGTATTGTGTGCTAAGAGGTGGCAAACTCTTTTGTTACAACTCACCAGAAGAAATTGAGGCTAAACTGGAGCCAGCATTGACAGTTCCCATCAACAAGGTAAAATTTGTTGTATGGGTTTTTTATTTTGTTTGGGTTTTGTTTATTTCAGGGGAGGTTGTTTTTTTGGTTGGTTGGTTGATGTTTTTTAAGGCCTGCTGTCATTTGGGCTCTAATCTGCTGGTATGCAGAATGCTCTATAGTTAGTATGTGGGTGGGATATGCTTCAGTGAAATTTGCAGTCACTGAACTTTTTCTGAGAAGGTAAGTTCCTTCTATTGCATTAGACTGTTTAACATAAAGGTAAAAAAGAGGATGTTTTACTTTAGCAAAAGTGGTAACTTCTTATATGACAGTTCCGTAAGACAGCCCTTGGAAATGTATTGCTTACAGTCCCTTAGCAAAGCTCTGGTAGAATTTTGTCCTCAGCAAGGTGGAATTTAACAAAAGCTGCTTTTGTGTTATTTGGCCACAGTCTTAATTAGAAGGAGAGCTAGAAAATTGTTCAAAATATTTCAGTGCCTTAAAATAAGCTGCTTTTCTTAATAGTGTTTTTTTAGAAGGCACAATAACCTTGGAAGTTCTGCTCCCTAGACTGATGTTATTGCTGCTTTTCATGCCCTGGTTAGAAAGGCTGAGTTTAAAACATAAAGTTAAAATGTTACTTACTATTTGGCTAAAGAAGCATTAAGTATTTAATTAGAAGTAATGTTTAAGTGTTCAATGTAGGAATATTATTGGAAGGACTTTTTAGAATGGTGATCATTAGACTGAACAGATGCTTTCAAAAACTGGTTTTAATGCAATTATCAGGAGTTAATAGCACACAAGGGTGAGCTGAGGGATTTAATGTTATTTGTGATTGACATAGGTGGATTCATCTTATGTAAGTAGACAGACACATTTGAAAACTGTGTTAAGCACAGGTCGATCTGGATTCTGCTGCTGTGCTGCTGTACTACTGTGAATGGTTAACGCCAACACTAATTCTGAACGAAATATCCTCTTGTCCAGTCATTTGTTAATGCTTCTGCGCTGCTTTATACCCAGGGCAGGCATTAGGGCAGCTGACTGATGAATTGGACAAGAGAACTGGTGTGGGTTAAAATTATCTCATTTGGGGGGCAGGAGGAGGGTTGGCTTCAACTGTAATTCCCTTTTAATAAAGTCTCTTAGCCAGTTCACTACATAGCTACACAAATGCTTGTGTGGTACAAGAAAGGGGCTAGGCTACAAAGGGGAATAAGTAGGGTCATGGATTAATAAAGAACTGCTTCTTACAACAGCAGTGTCAGCTTTTGGTGGCTTTAAATTTTCTGGAAAGTATGGCTGTATTCTTACCTATAGTGAGACTTGTATGTAAACCAAACATTTAAACCAGGTATAGGAATATCACCTGTTTGTATTACTACTTCTTATTTAATTTGATAAGATTCAAATTGATTCCTTAAATAAAACCACCATTCTGCTAGTGCTGTATCTATTAACAAAGTCATTTTTAATTCCAGTTGTTCATGCATTTGCATTAAATGTCTGAATGTCACAATAGTGAAACTAAGCAAGTTTACTTGCATACATCTTCAATCACTTTTAATTGCGCTACTTGGCCTTTGCCATAATACTGTTTTCCAGCTGCTCAGAATATGAGTTATGTTAAACTTTAGTAAATTGTAGAATTATTAAATCCATATTCTAAAATGTGACAGTAATTATTTTTAAAAAGTATCTATCAGGCTGCCTTGTATCTATCTTTGTCTTGTCTCTGTTTTGGTCAATATCCTAGTTTTGCTTTTTCTTTTAAAATATCCATATTCTACTAGGGTATTTTGCTCCCTCCAAGTTTCCAATATGCTCAGAACTTAAAATCCAGCTTAATAAGCCTTTGCCTAGAAACTGTCCATATGTTTGCAGAGTATCCTTAAAGCTAACGTGTAGAAGGTACAAAAATAATGTATCTTATATCATTTTACAGAAATGTCAGACTGCTGGAGAATATGGCTGTGAATCCTTCTTCAATTTAAATTAACACCAGAAAAAAAAAAATCAATTTAAATGTGTCTGGATACTTTACTACTTAAACAGTTTCTCTTGAAAATAGCTTAATGCCTGCAGATATTTTTTGACTTCTTTGTTATGAAATTTCTCTTACAGATTTAAATGAAGGCAGACTAATCATATGGGCTTGTCTGTTATGTGTTGTTATAGAAACAGCAATTTCAAAATGAAAGTTGAGCTTGAACATCCACTCTAGACATTCTAAGTAAAATCTCTTCTGGTTGCATATGTGGCATTTTCATTTGCAATGTGGAGCTGATCTTTTACATGTAATTGAAAGATACTTTTTGAAAAGTAATGAAATCATCTGGATTTATGAGAAACTCTGGAAAATATTCCCACTGATAGCCTTATTTCCCATTCCTTTTGAATCGAGACTCAAAGAAGCCATTAAGACTAGCAAAGTCATTACTTCAACTTCAGATGACTTCACTGCTACTGCTGTTGAGCAAGAATGGTTCTGCAGTTCCTATTATGCAAGTGTTACTATTATTGTTCCAGCTAAATGTGATTATAACATATTATATTGCACAACTAAGTAGGAAAAGAGAAATGATATTTTCTGTAGCAAAGAAAATTTGCTGGCATCCAGTTTGAACAAGAAATACTCCTTGTGGGCCAGCTCCTGACTTTTTTTCAAGTTTTCTTTAGTTTGAAATGAATAATAAAGGCCTTGCCTACACCTGATAGCTTAGCAAATAGGGGTGTGTGCCAGCATTTCACGTTAGTGGCTCAGTATTTGGTATACATATTGTATTGTATCTCAGTTACAGATTACAAAACTTTTTTTTGTGTGCTATGTATGCCTGAAGCTTGAGGAATTCTGGGATGTCGTTTCAAATTATCATAGGCTTGCGATTTCCTTCCTGGCATATTTTGCCAGTGCAGTCTTTGCTGTGGTGCCATGCAGTGCAGCAGGCCCAAAGCTATCTCTGTTCATGCTAATTGTTGAGGTCAGCAGGATGAGAAACAGCAAATGTTTGCAGCCTTGGGCTCAGGGTTCACAGACTGATTGCTGAACAGTGCAGCAGGAGTGAAAGGGCAAAAAACATGGTATTTCAGTCTGGAGAATATAAGGCTTGGGAGATACCTTAATGCAGCCTTTTGATACCTTAAGGAGGCCTGCGAGGAATCTGAACAGAGACTTGTTTACAGGGGCACGTAGTGATTGGACAAGGGGAAATGGCTATAAGGTGAAAGAGCATAGATTGAGATTAGATATTTGGAAGTAACTCTTTACTGTGAGGGTGGTGAGACAGTGGCACAGGTTGCCCACAGAAGTTGTGGCAGCCCCATCCCTGGCAGTGTTCAAGGTCAGGTTGGATGGGCTTTGAGCAACCTGGTCTAGTGGAAGGTGTCCCTACTTATGGCAGGGGGTTGGAACTAGATGGTCCTTAAGGTCCCTTCCAACCCAAGCCATTCTATGATTCTGCGATTTTTGCAAACTGTTACCTTGAATGACAGTTCTTGTTGGAACATCTGTTCTGGGCTAGGCCAGATAGAGTTTGTTGGAAAAGGTAATGATGGCTGCAGCAACATAACTTCTAGGCAACTAGGAAGTTCAGTCTTGGTCTGGAGCAGAAGTATATTGATTTGAGTTCTTGACCATGTGAACATTTAGGGAGCCAGCAATGTGAACAATATTCTCTGCTTGCGTCAGGGAGCTCCAGCAGTGCTGAAATGAGAGAAGCCCTGAGAATATCTGTGTTCTCTGTAGTAAGGGCTTTGTCCCACTGCTTGGCTTCCACAAGCCTTCATACATGTGAAAATAATTTGGAAAAACACAGACTAGTTAAGTGCCTCCAAATGTCTGATATCTCACATCATATTGCTCAATTTAGTCTTGCAGTTGCTTGAAAGAGGTTGTGAATGTGGGCAGGGGAAGCAGATATAATAACTAGATCCCACACGATGGACCTTATAACACACATGCTCAACTTGAGTGGTTTGGACACTATGTGTTATGGCTCCCTGGTGCTCCACAGAATGCTGGTTGGTCATATAATGCCATCTCCTCCTGGTTTTTAGCTGCTGCACTGTACCTAAGATAGCTAAAATAACATAGAAATCCTAATATTGCTTTTCCATATTATATTTACACATAATACTTACCACCCAGTGGCCACAAAGATGTTATATTAATAGAAGTTCACAAAACAATGAAGATGAAAGGAGGAAGTATTCATAGCTGATAGGGTGAATCCACTCTTGCGCATTAATGTGCTTGAAAGCCAGTTTTAAATTTAACTGAATTTCCCTGCTTGCCTAAAAGAGAACCCATGGAAATTATTAACATTACAGAAACCAACACATGAAGAGATTATATTTTGTTTCCAGTGTCATGTTATTTCTTGGCTTATTTTTTGGTACTAAAAACATGAAGGAAGTTTGTTATATGTGATTTAATTTGTTTAACCTTAAAATAAATACACAGGTCCAGATCTTAGGTTATTTAATATTTTTTTCAAGAACTGTAGCTTGTTTTGATGTCTTAAAGTGACCTTTATAACCATTGCTCCTCAATGTGTTCAGATTGGCCTAGCAGGAAAGTGTTGCATCTCAGCAACACAAAGGTGTCCCCTCTCTTTCTCTCTCATTCTCTCTCTCTCTATAGTTTTGTTTTGTTTTGGGTATGGGTTTTTTGTTTGTTTTGTGGTTAAGTGGAACTGGACATGTAGTGTAATTCATCCAAGCTTGGTAAAGTCATCAAGCTCATTACTGTAAGGGCATCTTGTATCACTCCCTAAATATTCAAGCATCAGATATAGATTGTTGCTTGAGGATTTATCTCCTTTAAATAATACCATAGTTGTGGGATAAAACCTACAGCAAACATCATTAAATAAACTTGTGTGTATGGCATGCTTGAAGTTCTTACCTGTCAAATGTTAATCTATTTGATTTAATTTTTTTGCTGGTATCTATGGTTACCTGAGTTAATGGGATATAGAGCACTTATGGATGAATTACTTCATCTCCTATTTTTAGACAGAAGAATTTAAATGAGCATATCCATCAGATATGCTACAAGCAGCTGTTTGTATTTCAAATGGTTACTTCAGTAATGCATTTAAAATCTGAGGATTGTTCTGTAGAACAATTTTTTGGTTTTCTGAGTGTCAGAACTAGGCTTATTCACTTATTCCCATGGGATCCCATGTGTAAACTTAATTTCTGTAGGTGTATGTTTAACATCTTTTAACAGATGTTTGACATTTGGTTGAATCGTGTAAAACTGAACATGGTTGAGCTGTCCCTACTGTATTTTGAGGAATGTCCGAAGCCACCTTTGTGGTCAGATTCACTGTCCTGCGAGACAGGAGACATTTGAGCACAGCCCTGGCTGTGGTTGTTGGCTTCCTTCAAAACCTGGGGCACTCCCCATGCCAGGGGACACCCTTGTGTGTCAGGAGGGTGCTGTGTGGTCTTAACATGTGTTAGGCAGCCTCATGTCCTGCCAGGCTCCAGGGCTGGCCAGATGTAGGGTGCTAGTTGGCTCCCTGGCGCCAAAACTCATCACCCCAGCAAGGTTTGGGATTATGCTGTTCTCCTGGGTATGCCAAAAAACCTTTTGAGGGCTGTGTTGTAATAGGCCATTGCTTGTTCAGTCAGGTTGAATTGTATATGCAAAGGTATTCCCAGGGTTTCTGCATTTACTTTTGTAAGTAAAGTAACATTAATTATTTTAATTTGTTCATCAGGTTGTGACGAGCAGCAATGTTGACCGGTTGTGTTCTGAAAGGTTTTTCAGTTGTGTTTTACCAGACTTTTACCAAAATGTTTTGGTATTTTACATATGAATTATTTTTTTTTTCTTTTCCCCACTGAAGGAACTACACCCCCAAACAGAAGGAAGGGGAAACCTTGGCTGTAACAGTGCTGCTGTGTAACCTGAAAGTCTTTCTAACATTAGCTGAAAAAATTTGATAGACCTGTGATATACTTCTCACATACTTTTTTTTTAATTGTTTCTGTGTAGCTCTCCCTAGTTAAGGCACAACAAAAATGTCTTATTTTGAAATGACAAATAGGATTTTTTTTTATATTATAGCAAAGTGGTTTTTTCATCCTGGAAATGTGCTCTAGCAGTTGCATGGGTAACTGCTACAAATGCTTCTTTAAATGTGGACTAGATAAGTTTATTTTTGCCTTTCCTGTCACTATAGTACGAGCCCTGAATGTCCTGATTCACCAAGATGAACGTAAAATAATACAAGTTTAGAACAGACCGCATAATCAGCAACCCACAGAAGTACAGTAGCAGACCTAAACAGTGGCTGTAACGATGTGGTTGTCCAGCTGAAGAGTTGGGAGAAAAGGAGCTACTTGCTCTTATTTTTGGTTCATGAAGCCACTGTGAAGAATGAGCGGTGTGAGATGAGCTGGTGAAGGCAGGGGGAGGGAAAACATAAAACACATTCTAAACTAAACAGCAATAATTGCGCTTCATTCCCTTATTTTTCATATTTTATGCCATTTTAATAGTTTTATGGGAAAATATTCTCGTAAGTGATTCCTGACATTAGTTTTGGGTTTGGGTTTTTTGTTGTTGTTTTTTTGTTTTTGTTTTTTTTTTTTGCTGGTTGTTTTGGATATAATATGGATTAGATAAAAAGACAAATTATACATCTCTTATAGTATCATTGGCTATAAGGCGATACCAGCATGGAGCTGAAGCAATAACTCATTAATCACAATTTGTCGTTCCTAGGAAACCAGAATTCGAGCTGTGGATAAGGACTCCAAGAGAAGGACTAATAACTTCTCTGTTATCAACCCTGTGTCTGGAGAAGCTGTGACGCAACTTTTTGCTGCTGACAGTAGGGACGAACTTCATGAGTGGATGGAGGCTTTCTGGCAGCACTTTTATGACCTGAGTGAGTAAGCAAGCAAGCAGTGCTGGCAGTGTGCCTTCCAAGTGGGCTGTTATGTAACATCAAAGGGATCGTTGAACAATTTGAATTGGAACTGTCTCGTAAGCCTTTGTGTGCAAGAAAAGAGAGGAAAAATGTCCTCTGGGATAATATTGGGTGGTGGTCTAAGGCGTTGGAAGGCAACATTTGACTAACCAAAGTCAACGTGTTTGGTGTGGGTTTTTGCAGGAAAGAGGCAGAATATGTCCATCAATCTCAAATGAACTTGGTGTCTTTTACCAGTATTCTAAGTTAATTTGTTTTACAAACTGCCACATTCTCTCCATCTCTTCCTCCACTGTAGCAGGAAGAGTCCACCTCTGCCTGGGCTTCCTACCAGTAGTGTGTTGCTTTTGTGAGACTCTGCAAGTATGAAACCTTTGGGTGTGGAAGCCTTAGTAGGAAGTGGTGAAGATGTTGGATTCATTCTGGGCTTTGGCTAGGATGCAGATTCAACCAGCCCTTGCGAGGAGGCACATCTATTGGGGAACTCCTTGCTCAGCAGTATTAATAGCTGAATTAAATCACAGTTTTTGTGATAGGGATTACTTGATTCTGTTGGTAATTTTAAGGTTTTGGTACCCCTTGTCACGCAGGAATATGCTCACCCAGCCACGATCCAGTCCAGTCATGCAAATACATACTTCCTGAACCTGCTAAAATCTGTACCTAAGGCTTTGTAACAGGTGATATGAATGAGATGAGAAATTGACACCTTGATTGTTTGGCTAACCTCTGGAGCTACACTCTTTCATGAGAGAAGAAACTCACTTATTGGTGTAAAACAGTGAAATGGTATTGATGTAGTATACTGTGTTGCTGTTTTAACACCAACTGTTTATTATAAGAACAATATAGATTAATTCCTCTCCATCTTTTTCTTCTGCTTTAGTAGTTTAACTCACAGGTTTATTGAGAGTTGAGAACAAGTGTCAGTTACTGTGCCAACATTGACAGGTTCAGTTGGTTCCCAATAGTCATTTTTATCATTTCAAAAAACAGAACCAGGTCAATGAATGAAATATTAGTCTTCAGTCAGAGGCCACACCAATAAAATCAGTGAATCGAGCTTGTGAAAACTCAGTATTGTAGTTGTATTTCTAGTCCTTTCTAGCTCTGATTTACAGTGAGAAGAGGCTCCATCAATTAAAGAAACACACCAAGCAAAAACTAGGGCATCATCTTTAAATTAGCTGTAGAGTGGGGTAAAAGAAGTACTTATTCATTATAGATAGAATACCCATGGATTTTTTGAGACATTTTCCTTAGGTTCAGAAAAAATGGGTCACTTGGCATTTAAATGCCTTTTTTCTTCCTTGCTTCTAAAATTCCCTTAAAATTAATGTACTCAGAAAACTTGGAATGATTGGTATGAGCAAAGTAATTTTACCATGTCTTGTTTTCCTTAAGGTCAAAATCTATTAATAGAAAAAGAGGTTTCCTTGTCTGCTAAGGGATAAAAGGCAAGTTATCCTCTATTAAAGCCAGGATGTTCCTTTACTAGAACACTGTAACATAGTTGTATAACATCCATCTTGCAGTGTATTGGAGTTTGTCCCCATTAACTTCATGAAGCTTTTTTTTAATTGGTGAATTTACACTGTGTGCGGGGATTTGAAGGCAAATTATGATATTTAACCTCCATAGTATAGCAGTGCTGCTAGAATTCTTAAATTGGAGGTAGACCTGTGTGCTAAGAGATTGAGTACAAGAATTGAAAATAAAAATGCATGCTGAGCATTTGTGCTAAACAAAAGTAAATGCGTATTGATTAGCATTGCATTGGAGACAGTTTCCTAACACAATCGAATAACATCAACTTTTTTCAAGCTGAAGTGTTTAAGTTCCAGTCATTGTTCCTTTTTTCCTTCTCAGGCCAGTGGAAACATTGTTGTGAAGAACTTATGAAAATTGAGATTATGACACCACGGAAACCACCTTTGTTCTTGACAAAAGAAGCAACCTCCGTCTACCATGATATGAGTAAGTGGGATTTGTCTTTTCAGGTTGCAGGGTAACAGAAACAACACTGTCTGTATTCAGATGGCTTCTGGTGTTGATGTCGAAACACTGAGTTTTTCAAGGACAGTTCAGACAATGAGAGAGCAACAGAATTGCATACCAAGGAGTACATAATCTGAATTTGTAACAGCACAAATAATTAATACATTTTTATCCCTTGAGACAAAGAAATCTGTAATCTGAGTTATACCTAGGGAGTCCTGAGCATATTCAAAAAGGTGTCGTTAGAAGTAAACATTCATCATAAGAGTAATATAAAGCTCAAGAAATGTAAAGGTTAAATAGTCCAGTCTGCAAACTGATAATGACTTTAACTAGTTGCATGAAATTAACCTGCTGTTCTTAAAGCTATTTAAAGGCTTACTAAGCAGAACTTATCAATTTTTTTGGTCTTTGGTAATGATGTTGGAAAATATGCTTGGAAAATCTAGCTAGCATGTCTTTGAGACTTGTATTTTTACAGAGGAAAGTGGTATGCAGCAGGATTATTTTAATAGTTTCATTACAGAAATAATATTTACAGACTAGAAAAAGTAGGTCACTTTGTTTTAATGGATCTGATACAATATTGGCTGAGAAATACTGTATAACTATAAATGCCTGACTGCTTGCTGCTTAAGATTGAAACTGTGAAGATGCTCAAAATGCCATGTGGGTCATTGAGTTACTGTGCATCAGAGCACTGAACAATCAAAAGGGTCCTATCTAAGCTAAGAATGCAGAGCAGAAAGGAAGTAAATCGCCTATATGGAAGTTTTACAAAGGTAACACGGTAGCATAATTCTGCTGACACTCAAGAACATCAGTGAGGAGCAACACGTATACTCTTTCACTCTTAATATACAAATTTTCCTGCTTATTTATAGTACTCAAAGTCCCCCTCTACTTAGCATCAGTGAAGCTGTGCCTTGAATAGTGTGTTTGATTTTGGGCCCCTCACTACAAGAAAGATATTGAGGTGCTGGAGCAGGCTCAAAGAAAGGCAACAAAGCTGATAGAGGGTCTGGAGCCCAAATCTTATGAGGAGTGGCTGCAGAAACTGAGGTTGTTTGGAGGAAAGGAGGCTGAATAGAGACATTATTGCTCTCTACAACTACCTGGAAGGAGGTTGTAGCAAGGTGAGGGTTAGCCTTTTCTACCAAGTAAGAAGTGATAGGCAAGAGGAAATGGCCTTAACTTGTGACAGATGAGGTTCAGATCGGGTATGCAGAAAAATTTCTTCACTGAAAGGGCTGTCAAGCATTGGAACAGGCATCCCATGGAAATGGTGAATCCACCGTCCCTGGAAATGTTCAAAACCCGTGTAGATATGGGACTTAGGGATATGGTTTACTGGTGGATTGGGCAGTGGCAGATAAATGGTTGGACTTGATTATCTTAAAGGTCTTTTCCCATATAAATGATTCTATGCTTCTATAGGTAAAATGCTGTGTTTAAAAATGTGCTGAAAACTGTTAACATGTGGCCTGCAATAGAAAAGGTACTGCTGCTGTTTGAGCCTAGTATTACTGCAGTATACCTAGAAAACTCAGTATGATGGATAACAAATGGGAAAAGACAGTCTTAAAGCACATAAAGAAAAATTATATATGTGAAGATATCCCATTTTCTGCAGGCTGGAAATACAAAAATATTTAGTCATAGACTTTTTGATAGGCCTTCTGTGAAATGAAAATTTCAAAGCACTATACAACAAAAGATGTTTAATATCTAATACATACATGTTTTCTAATGGCACATAATTTCTTCTACTTTTACTTGGGAAGAAATATCAATGCCCTACACTGTTGCCTGAATGCCAGCTGTCATGAAAACAGTTCCCTTCTGTCGTCTCAGAGCAATCTTTGAAAGCATATGTAATTTTATACATTTCATCCATTAATACTCTTAATAGTAGTCAGGACTTCACAAGACACAGTTAATACAGTTTTGTATTCTGAATAGTAATAACAAAACAGGTAGCAGTAAAATCATTGGTAGCATTTTAATCTGAGTTAATTGCTCTTCCTTAAAATTATAGGCATTGATTCTCCAGTGAAACATGAGGGCTTAGCTGATATCATACAAAGAAAAATTGAAGAGACTGATGGAGAGTTCCTGCTTGGCCAGCAAAAAGAGTCTGCATCTTCCCTGTGGGCTTCACTCTTTGATGGATCTCATGAGATGCTGGTTCAGAAAAACATGCATCTGAGCCCCAACAGAAATACTACAAGTCTTAATGACAGCAGAGGAAAGAAAAGAAGAGCTCCACCTCCACCCTCTGAAAAGTCACCCTACAGTGCAAAAGCCCAGGTGAACACAGAGCAAGTGGGCAAGGAAAACTGGGAGAAGTCTGACTGCACATCTGCTAATAGTTCTTCTTTTGATTCAAAGTTATCTGCAAAACTGCAGCAGTTGCAGCCACCCACTGCTGCTCCTCGCAAAATTGGTCCTTGTAATGAAAGCACTTTAGCTGGCCATGGAAATCTCATTTCATTGGTTAACAAGACTGAGTCTGAAACCAAACTGGTACCAGCCCCTAGACAGAAATGCATCAGAGAAATGCTGGACCCTAGATCCTGGTTACAGCCATAAACATCATAGTTTAGAGAAGTGTCTGGACTTTCAAGTTTCTCGGCCTTCTACGTCTCTTCAGTGAAAATAGATTTTAGCATATAGCTTATAAGTATTGAAACTGAAGTGGATTTGGCTTTGGTTTTGTTTGGGTGGCGGTTTTTTTCCTTTTAGGTAGGGCATTACTACTAGCTGCAGTCTCAGCTGTACTCAGTATCACTAACATCTAAATAATTGCAACTAATAAATGGGGGAGTTATCTCTATCTGAAATAACGGTGCTACTTCTGAGGAGTGGTTCAGTGTCCTCCCCTTGAAAAAAATGCAGTGTTCAGGGTAACTCGGTATCCCTGCAGCAGGGTTGTTACCATTACCTTCTACCAGACCATTAGCTTAGCCCATCTGCATCTCTCAGGCTAGTCCAAGTGGGAATTTCACACAGACTCGGCACAGATCTCGCAAAATCAATTTTCTTGGGCTCCGTGCTTGGCACCACCTAAAATATTTTTCTCTCTCCCTCAGTGTTTGGGAACCACTCCTTATAATGTGATATTCTATGAAAAGTTATTGTACTCTTCTGAACAGCTTTCTAACTCCATATGAATTTCTGAAACAGTTCTATCAATTTAGCATGGGATCGCCTACATTCTTGCTGGTTCATGTGCTGTCCAAGTAGACCAGGATTATCTGCGTACGAGCAGGAATGTGATCCATGACTGCTACTTGTTTCAGACTAATGTGAACATTTAAAAGCTGTACTGCATATGAACACCTACTCAGGATTTCATTTTTATGGTTGGCTTTTGGGTTCTTTTGTTGACAAACAGGGCTCTGTAACATAGCTTCTCCTTTGTGGAGCCTCTCAACTGTTCCTGGTTTGTAAACACAGCAGTGTTACTGGTAAGCAGTAAGGTCTTTTCACCACTTGTTTTTTTTTCTGAAATAGCAGAAAGTAAGTACTTCAGGTCAAAATACTGAGCTTTGATATTTTTCCATCTTATTCTTCCATCTACTCTTCTACCTAGACTTACCATTTTTGTAAGAAGCATGGGTTATTAGGATCCCTGTGGCACGTGCAAAACGTCTATGGCAAATGGAAAAGATTCTGTTTTCCTGGATCCACAACTTAAGTATCCAACCCTTTCCTTAGCTGATGCATTTATGTCAGATGCTGGAACTTGTCCAGGAGCAACTGTATACATACAGTTCATTTTTTTTTTTTTTTTCTAAAATGCAGATGGCTTTGAGAGCTTTACTCTTTCTCCAGAAGATTTGTGTGCATGGTTGGTTTGTTTTATCTAATTTTTGTCTTTTGCTAAGCTCTTGGCTGCACAGCTGTAAAGGTGTCTGCTGAGTTCCCTCAGTACCTCATTGCCTGTTTGGGATGGGGCTTGAGAGGCAGGTTTCATTTACAAATCCTTTTGCAGGATTAGAGCCCTTTGTTTCTGGAATGTCCTTGTTCATTCTTCATTTAATCACATTCCATTTTCCCTCTGAAATAACCATAATCATTCTTACAATAAATCATGCTGTTATTTAAGTGTATGGTTTGTGAATGGTTTATAAATAGGAACAGAAAAACTGAAGAATGACTACATGATTATGTAAATCAGACACAGTCGACTAAGTGGACTGTGCAACTCTGAACAAGAAATAGGAAAAAATAAAGAGGGGAAGAAAAGCCATATTTTCCAAAATGCAGCTGCAGTTTACTTAGCTTTAAATCTAGCCTTAAATGTTACTGTGCCCTGGAAAGAATGAATACCTTTTTCCTGGTAACCCCCTTCCACTTAGTTGTTATATTTAAAAATAAATCTCATAAATATATAAGGCAGGAAGGCACTGTAATGAGGATTTATTTTTAAATTCAACAGGCCATTGAATTTCAACGAGCAGTTTCTCTTAAATTCAGTGGCTTTGTTTTGAACTGAACATACATATTTTAGGAAGGCATTTAATATTAATTTAAAGCCTTCAAGTGATGAGAATTCACTCATACCTCCTGTTGCACTAGTTAATTATCCCAGGTACATTTTAGACTTGATTTTCTATTTGCATTTCTAGCTCCACCTTAAGTTATTTTGGTCTTTTTATGCATTTGATTGCTTATATTGATCTCTGTATATCAGCTTTTCTAATTGCTTGTGTGCAGTTATAAATCATGATTATGTCCCTTTTAACCTTTTCTCTGATGAGATGCACTGAATTCCTTAACTTTCTTATGGCAATGAATGTTATACAAGACTAATTAATCTTCACATTCTTTGTACTTCTCATGTGTTGAAGTATTTTTGCGTGACATCTGAATTAGATGCCACATGTCAATAATGATCCATCAGGACTATATAGAAACATACCGTGATCCTCTTACTCTGATTAATATCTCCTTCCCTTCTTCTCTCAAAAATGGTATTATCCTTTTTTTGTGGAAGCATTGCCTTGGATACTGACTTTTATGGCTCAAGTCCTCTTCAGAGCCTTTTTCAAGAATGCGGTACATCATCCTCTTATTATCCTACCTTATTTTTTCTTAGAAATCTACACTGTATTTTACCAGCATTAAAATACTGCTCATGAAGCAATCCAGACTGCTCTGTGTAAGTGACCTGTCCTCATTCTTTACTACTCCAGCAGTCTGCATGTCCTTTGCAAATTTATTGCAGGTGATTTTCACAGTTTCTTCCAGATCATTGATTTTTAAAATTGAATGCAAGGCAAGGTTTGTAGAGAGAGGTGATAAGTTTTTATTACATCAGTGACATGGGTAGGGGGTGGGGGAAAGCAAACAGACAGGCCACTGGGTTTGTGTCCCTTTTTTCCCCAGAACCTTTAAAAAATTGAACAAGATGGAAAACAACTGTAGTTCTTGTGGATTCCCTGTTAATGCCATATTTTGAAATTTTCTGTCTCCAGCATAACATTCTATAATGATTTGATCTGGTACTGATACATTTAAAGAAAATGACATGTTCATCTGGTTGTCAGTACGTGACTTAGGGTTCTTATGGGCAGCACCTCAGGGCAGGTGTCTTTGCAAGCCAAGCTTACTATATCGAAGAGTAAAATTCAAGACCTATTCTCCAGGAAGCTGTGTTGATTGACATTTTATATCTATCCTTAAATTAGACTCATATGAGCCAGTTCACTATATTACCCTGATCCCTACTAAGCAAACTAGACCATTAATTACCCGGATCATCCTGCTTCAGAACAACAGTGCTGTTCTTACAGTCCTGTGAAATGTCATGGCAATGTTGAGACTTGTTTAATTAATTGCACATTTAAGCTCCTATAGCTGGAAAGGCTTCTGCTACTGAAAGTAGTTTCTGTTATTTTAAAAAAAACACTATATAATCCCTATTATGAAGCATCAGTTGACTTCAGGTTTTAGTATTTACTGTTACTGACTCAGTTGATTTGTTTTTTGGGTTTTTTTTTTCTCTTTTGTATTGCCATTTATTGCTGCCGTTGAATCTTCTGTTAAGCAAGTTGGTTTAACTGATGAAAACTGCAGGCTACCAGCAAATCTTAGCTATACAATAAAGTCAGTTACAGGAAATTCATTTGTACTCAGCTTTTGTCTATGCAAGATAACATAAATATTAGTAATAAAAACAGAGCACAATTTCAAAAGTGTAATTAGAAGATATATCTGTGAGGAAAATGGTCATTTTTTTTTGCCTTTTCCACATAGTGGCAAATTATAATACATTATTACTGATACTGGTCCCTTATTGCATAGGCTTGCTCAAAAGTTGAACTCTTCGTTTGTTTTGGGGGGGTCTGTTTGGAGATTTTGGGGTTTTGTTTTTTTTTTTTGTTTTGGGGTTTTTTTCCCCCAAGTTTTCCTGCCTATAATGAGGATGAATATTCAAAACAGGAATTAAAACCAATATATTGCTTGTATCCAAGCACTATATGAGGAATATATGAACTAATATGAGGAAGGCAGCTATATTGCAGTGTGGTACAGTGACATTTTAGACTTTGCACTGATCCTCTTCCCAGGCTGTGCTGTCTTAAGATCGTGGCCCAAGACAGCAACCCATCTGTTGGTAGTGCGTGGGGCTGGGGAGCTGTTAGCTTCCATCCTTCGGGGTGGAGGTGAAGGGGATTCAAGAAGCAGAGAAGTAGACAGCCTGTTCCTTATGGGACATGGTGGAAACTGTTAAACTGCTGCTTCTCAGCACTGAAGAAGAATGTACCCATTAAGTCATCTTGTCAGTTGCATTCAATCATGAGGGTGCTTTAATTGCATGAGTCAAAATATCAGTGAAGTTACTTGATTAGTATTTATAAAGAGTGCCAAAATAGGAAATGTTTTACACAGGCACAGGTGATGTTAGCCAGCCTCCTGCTGGGACAAGGCTTGGAAGACAGCAGGAGGCCTGTGGCTTCTTGTAGACCTTAGGTCCCATTGCCCCATGTTCACATGTGTGCAGGAAAGTTGGTGTGCTGCTGCTTGGCAGTGGAGTCCACGGAAACACAGGGTTTGTTCAGAGTCACTGCAGTCAGAAGGAACAGCTCAAACTACCCAGTGTAGCTTGGTAAAGACACTGGTAGCATCTGCTACGGCTGAACTACACGTGTGATTAGGTACTTTTATGAGGAATATGTCAGGCCTGCTCTGAAAACTGTATCTGCTTGTTTGGTGCTGGAATGAATTAACTGCTGCTTAAAAAGTAGTGGGATTGCCGTCTGGAAGTCAGTCAGAAACAATAGTTAACCTGAACTCTTCTTTTAGAAAGTACAACTTGAAAGCAGTTGCTATCCCAAACTTTAAATATGAATTTCACAGAACAGGAACAACTTTTGAAATATTAACTGAACAAAGACTTTATTTAGTAACTTTTTACGTTATATCTAATGTCTTCAGCTGTTCACTTGGTCTTGGAATGGTAGGTGGTACCTTTTGCGATTTTAAAGGCATTAGCTTAAAATGTTTACATTTTTACTAGTATTGTGATTTTATGTTTTCCTATGGTAATTATATTAATAGTTATTTTACAGTGGTGTGTACATATTTGGAAATACTGTCAGAGCTGATGTACAATTAATGTAGATTGCCTTGGTAGAAAAAGGCAGATTTGGACACTAATGTATTGTGAACTGTTAGAATAGAAATCTTTTGCTGCTAACATGATATGTTTCTGTTAAAATATGCAAGTGAAATTAAAGTTCCTAGAGTAAAAGGCTTTTGGTGTAATTTTCTTCAATCTAAAACTACATTAAGCTTTACTCCAGTTTATAAACCATGGGTGATGGCTGCTGTAAAATAAGAACTTAGGAGTAGCTACTTTTCTGCTGGGCCTGCTGAATGTATCCCTCTAGGCTGGTGCTGACAATAACAAGCAGTGTTTGCCTCAGTTTTCTAAACTGGAGGGAGAAAAATCCCAAACATCTGGCAGCTAGCACGATTGCTCAATGAATTGTCCAACGTGTCCAACAGATCTCTGTGTGAATATGTAATGTTAGAAATGTTAGGTGAGCTGCACCTTGTTTCCACAAATGTGCCTAAAGAGTTCAGGTGCTTTTTTTTACTTCTCTCATAGTCTTGCAAGAAAGTGTGTCATGAAGCAGATTTACATAATTCCATCTGCTGTGTAAGGTGACGCCATAAATGAGTCACTGACACGACTAATACCAGCCATTATTTTTCTTTCTTTCATAGGCAGCCTTGTGCTGAAGGGAAACTCCTGTTTACCTCACTGGCTAGAGCTTAGTGTAGCGTTGCTAATTTAAAACCAACCGTGCCATTCAAGTAAAGTGTTCTTTTGGCCCAATTATCATAAAAGAATGGTAATAAAAGTAGAAGGAATTGTTAGACATTTCAATTTCAGAATATGTGACTGATTTAAGAGTCCATGAAAAAAACTGTGTGATTGATAATTGCAAGGCAAGCCAATGCAGATGAGTGATTTAATGAAAATTAAGCTGCAGTTTGCTTTAAGGGATCATAGTAAGGTAAGAGATGATGATATCTTCATATAACCATTAGCAAGTGGTTAAACTGTAATCTTTTCATATGTGTATTGTATATCCGCAGAAAAAATCTATGAGACATCAAAATAAATTGCTTTTCATGGGGGGGAAAAAACATCTTTCAAGATTGTTATCTCAAGATGGCTTTCTAAATGTTCTTCATGTACTTCCGCAAAGGGGGAAAAATTATAGTAACTAGTGAAGCCTCTTCTATTAAGGCTTTTCTTCACATTTCTACAAACTTCTTCCAAAATAGTTTTGAAAGAACGTGTAACCTACATTGTCTCTCACCTGAGGGTTTTTTGGTATCGTCCAGTGTCACCTGTGTCAGAAGGTGATAGAGGAATACCTGCAAAAGGAAGCTGAGGAGTCATGTTTCACAACAAATGGTTCCTTCCTACCCCGTTAGTAATTACAGCGCTTTTATATGCAGACATGGGAAGCCTTTTATCCTGTCAAAGTTTCACTGCATGTCTGTGTCTGGACATGAATTCATAGTGGCAGTTAAATTAAAAAATTGTATATTTTTTAATATAATTGCATTTTGGCATCCCTGTTGCCTCGTGGAACTTGCAGTTTGATGATATGCCGCAGGAGTTTTCTTTCCAAACTTTAAAATGTGTGTATTTTATTTTGCTAAGATGGAAAGAGTCAGTCCATCATCTTTTTTTGTCACTGGCTATAAAGGTGATACCAAAGTACAAATATATTTGCCTAAGTTTTTTCAACCTGGAGGCAAACAGTCCCAGTCTTTTCCATCTTGCTTTGGGTTATATTTTCCATTTTCTAGTTACTGTCTATTTCAAAATCCCTCCTGTATTTTGACAGTATCTTTCTTGAGCTGCGTGTCCAGAGCTGAGCATGCACTTTTAGCTCAGGGGTACCCTTGGTATACAAGAACATAATAAGTTTGTTAGTGTTATCTCCATTTTAGTTGCTCATTCTTCGTTAGCCATCGCTCTATGGCCACAATGGTCTGTGCTTAAATTAAGGCGCTGTTACAGTGAGCTTAACATCTGACAACTTTCTCAACAGCAGGAAAAATGTTAGGGAGGTGTAGCTGGCACAAGGAAGTCGCTTTGTCCACATTGCATTTGTTTTTCAGATGGCAGCAGCTGCTTTACTTCGTTTGGTTTTGGATGATTCTTACTCTGTAGTCCCTCGTGTCTGTATGCAAGGGCTGAGAGCTTTTAAAATAAACTGAGCACATTTTAACTGACTGTTCCCATGATGTGGATGTATCAGCCAGAGTTGCAATTGTCAGAGTACTGAGCTGCCAGATGCTTAGCCCATGTATTTGGCTTGTAGGAAAATTGAGGGCCTGAATCCGGACTTACTGACTGAACACAGAGGATGGGGCTGCTCTGCGCACCAGCGTAGCTTTATTGCACTGCATGGGCCTTTTGAAATGGTGTGGGGCAATCTAGCTTTTCAAACATGGAAGAAACTGCTCGAAGTTAGGAGAGTCTCACTTAAATTTTATTAAGCAAATGGAAAGCTTGTTATTAAGGACAAATCCTAATAATGGTATTCCACACAGAGCTGCAGGTCAAATTGGATTTATTATACCATGCCCTTAGTATATCAACTTTTATCATTTTAATAAGAGTTCATTTGTGTGTCTAATAATACATCACATTTTACTCCTGGCCTCATTAGAAAGTTTCTTCAATATTTGCTTGATCATTATACTTCAGTAACTTGGGACTAACTCAGGTCTATCCTGGCACATGCAATAGCCAGTAAAGCCTACACACTGAGGCATGCTTTTCCAGCCATCCATTTAAAGTAATTGTATAATTCCTTGGCAAATAAAGTTTGTGATTTCCAAGTATTAATGTGTAACCTGCTATTTACATTTTTCATCAGGATAACCAGAATGTATCAGTTGTCTTCTACTCTACACCTTGCTGGAGTGATTAATACAGACTTTAGCAACAATTTGTTTACTTTTCTTTTTCAGCATTTCCTTCAGCAGGGCAAGTCCTGTCAACCATACCTGCAAAAAAAAACAACAAAAGATAGAGGCAATTATTTAGTTAGGCTCCATCTGTCTCTTACCGAAGCATGAAAGAGAGCCAAGGGGTTACTGCAGAAACAATTATTTGAATCAGGATACATAATTACAAATGCATAATCCTGTTGTATAAATTTTGTTCAATGTAGGCTTTCACCTATATTGAACAAGAGCCAATGCAAGGGCCACAGCTTCTCAGCTCCTCACTTATTAATAGGGACAGTCATGACAGTATTTTCCATCACGCCTTTTGAGGCATTAGTCCTTCGTGGTGCTGGATTTGACAAAACGGTAAAGAGGTTTCATGGCTATGACCTAAATAGTACCCTCCTCACAGGCTCTTCTAAACTGAGGGCATGCAGGAAAGAGAAAAGAATTCAAGCTCTCCCCATTTCTAGAGAGATGACACTAACAAAGATAATGTGAGAATAGGGCAGTTTTGAAAAGCCGACTGTTGGGACTTTCATGTGACCCACAGCTCAAGTAGGATGTTTTCTGCAAAGCCACCTGGCGTTATGACTGTCCTTCAGCTTCCTGGGCAACTTCTGCAGGTTTTAATAGTGACGTAATATTCAGAAATTATATCGTTTAGTCCTTGTACTCCACTTTTTAAGCCCCTTACAACAGAGAGTTTTGAACCTTTAAGCTCTCATTCCCTTTCAGTGTTACTATAGGAATTAGTTTTATCTGGCAGGAACATATTTCATCTCAGCTGACATGCAAAGCACATGAGGTACAGCAGCTGAAAGAAGGCCTTGTGTTTGGCCAGTGTTGCAGGCTGTGTCTTGTCCATGGAGCGGAGTTTGAGACTGTCTCCTGTGAGACACTGTGATCCTCCTTGTGCTGTTGAAGGTGCAGCAATTACTCCAGTGGATGCCCAGCAGACAAGGGAGCTGAAGAGATACCAGAAACTCCTTTCCAAGCGATGCTCATTCAGCAATGGTCCTACTGTTTTCCACAATGCCCTAGTCTTAGTGAGGCACCAATATGCACACTTGAGACACAAACTCTCCTGCCACTGCCCTGGACACATGGCAGAGAGCAAACAGCACCAGCACTGCTGTTTTTCCCCAGCGCATGACTCTGAGCACTGCTGTGCATGGAGACACTTTTGGCCAGCCAGGTCCAGAGCCGAGAGGGCCTCATGCCTTTCTCTGCTTTTTATCCCACACCAGTGCAATCACAGCAGCTCCCTTCCAGAGGAAGTCTTGAAGTGCTTTATAATCATTAAGCCTCACGTTACTCTTTGGGTTAATTATTTGTATGGCAAGAGAAGTCAGCCACAGAGGTTACATGTATGAAATATCCATGTGTCAACCTTTATAAACCTGAGCATGCTCAGGTTTGTTTGCCCTTTTAGCACCACCTTGATCCTATAATCAGAATATATGTATAAGTTTTGGTTTTGATAAACTAAATCATAAAAGAACAAACAAGTAAATGAGCTTTTCCATTGCCTCCTCCTCTGTTGCAGTCTGGCTTCTCAAGGTGCGATCCTTGAGAGCTGGGCTGTACCTTCCCTAGCCAGCGTCCCTTCCGGCACTCTCATTCATGCATTCTGTCAAACAACATCTTCTTTGATTTTTATCAAGATCTTGACTGAGATCTTCAAGCAATTAATTCAGTGCTCCGTGATTGCAGCTGCTGAATAATTGTTTGTTAGAGTGTTTTCTTTCCCAGGCAAGAGATGTAAAGTAGTTGCTCCCCTCAATAAACAAGTTGTCAAATGTGATTAGTTAATGGACCTGTAATCATGCAATAGCATAAAGGTAAGGAATTGGTAAGTGTGATGTGAAAATGCATATTTAAATTAAAGCTATAGGGGAAGATTTTCCCATAGGAAATCTTGCTACCAATGCTGAAATAGACTATTTACCGTTCATAATGATTAACTGTAGATCGTTAATTAAAGAAAACAAGAGATTAGTCATCAAGCATTTCAAATTAAGGATGCATTGATTGTTTGAGTTCCTGTTGGTCTGACTGGGAGACCAGGTTGGTGGCCAGGTCCTCATGCCTAAGCCAGCCTTCCCACAGAAACTGATATGCAGGAGTAAAAGCCTATTAAAATTAAGGTAAAAAATTTACTGGCCAGTATCAAGCTCCAAGAGCCTGAAATGTGATCCTGTGTTCCTAGTACCAGCCCTGTAATTCCCTGCACCTTTCTTGGGCAGATGCATGTTGTCAGGCTCGTCAGTTTGTAGGGGAGAAGGAATATCTCATATTTTGGCAAGTGAATGTAAATTCCAAGCTAAATGGAGTTACCGTGAACGTGTATTACAGCTCAAAAGCTAAGTAAGTAACTTGTTTTCTTCTCTAAGTAATACATCTACCTTTCTGCCAGCCCTTTACAACAAATCTCAGACAATCATGTAGTGGCATCTGCGGAAGGCCAAAGCCCCGTGCAGAGGAATCTTGCAAGGCTGGGTATTTTCCCCCCTCACTTCTTACTTGGGAAAGGTGCATTCAATGGTATCGTTTCCTAAAAGAGTTTTCTTGCCAGAAAAGGAAATTTTTTGTTTGTTTGTTTGCTTGGGTTTTTTTTTGCTGTTAAAAAACTCTATTATAGAAATTTAATTTTCCATTTGGGAATTGCAAGCAGCAATGCAATAATAATAGTTGTTGGTTTCCACACGCTAATTTCAAACTATTCCAGGCAGCTGCCTTCTGCTTTCTGTGCAATCTCTTAGCGTTAGGCTCCAATATAAAATGAAATTACTCTAAACTGTTTGCCAACTTTGACTATTCTTTTAAAATCATGTAGCTGTTACTTACATTATGTAACGGCAACTGGGGTAATTTAATGACTAGGTCACGTATGAAAAACAAGACTTCACTTGTAACTTTCAGGTAATTAACCACCTAACTGCTGTTAAAAACACAATGATCAGGGCAAGGGACACGTCAGAGCCACTTCACTGGTGACACGCTGCGTGGTCAGAGCTGTGGTTATTGCTGCTGATAGCCCCAACCACCTCTTTCTTTCTTTGCTTTTCGGAGGACGGGGGGGGGGGGGGTAGCTGTGATCTGTGGGCTCCCTCGCACCCTGTTCCCAACTCTGGGGGTGCTCTGCCAGGACAAGGGGCAATGGCGCTGCTGGGTTTCTGCAGGACTCAATCCTGATGCTCCTTTCGCAATGTCTTTCTCCAGATGGGTGTCTGACCAGGACTGGAGGCTACCAGGCATGTGCTCGTAAAGCAGGTTTGTAAGTACAACTGTTCGCTAAGAATAATGAGGTCTTGCCCAACCTCAGACCCTAATGCTGAGGCTTTGAAAAAGTAACAGAGTAACACCTGTATTGAGATTTTGGCTATTCAGATCAGCAGGTCACTCTTCAGGGACTTTTCTCCTCCAAGGCTATTTTGTAATGAAAGGTGAGACTCATGAATGTGGTGTTTCTAGGCAAAACCCCACAAGGTGCCTGTTTGAAGCAAAACTCTCCATGCTCCAGTGCTGGCACACTTCCAGCTTCACCCCATGGTTTGCTCCAGCATCCCTCTAGCCCCATCTCCTCTGTAGTTTACATCAGGGCCTGTCCCACTCATCTTCCCCCTCCTGGCTGGCTCCCAGTGTCACAGTGGGATCCTCTGGTTCCACCTTATTTGTGCCCCATTCTTTGCTTTTGCTGGTGTGGTATCTAAGGACAATGGTTATCTGGGAGAGTGTTTCAAGGTACTGAACCATTTAAAATTGAGCAGGTTAGCCAAAGAGTATATCATACACATAAAAACATGGCTAACTGCAGAACTCCAGAAGATGGAGCATGATACAGATGGCCAAATGTCATGATGCGTGCAGTGGCATCCCCCAAGCCGGTAAGACTGAGGTTAGGATCAGGTTAGTCCTTCAGAGAGCTGCATTGCCTACAAAGAGCATCCAGGATTCCATTGAAGACAGCATGCTGGATTGAGTGGCTGCACCCCTTCTCTGCGCACACATTGCTCGAGAGCCATCCTCATCCTTGTTAGTATGCAGCTGGTGTGGTTCACCAGCTCTGCCAAGCACAGCTTTTTAATTCTCCCTCGCTGGAGAGAGGAAACTTCTGAACAAGTGAATGATTAATGGGGGGAGGAAAACAGAGCAAACAAAATTAAAAAAGGAATAATAAAACCCCCCAGTGAAAGTGAAGCGATCAAGATTTATGCGAATTCTATGAATTCCTCACACTCGTTTGGAGCAGGATTGCGTCAGTTGCAGCACAC